GCCCGCCACAACACCCGGCCATTTTTTGGTTGCAGCCATCATTGTTCTTTGGCGGCCCGGGCTGGATTCGAACCCTTAGGTGTATGTGGCTGGCGCCTTAGCCACTTGAGCCACAGGTGTCAAGCCTGAAGTTACTTTTTTAAAAATGCTTGTGAGTCATTGGGAGAAAGTGGTCTGGAGTGCAAGGCTGGGACAGAGATTTTGCAAGCTTCTTAATCCAGGGCCATAGCCCACTGCCTAGGAAGAGGCTCTGACAGGGAAAGTACAGCAGGTGCATGCAGGCATTTTTTTTGAAATCACATTACACTTTGTATCAGTGAGGTCCCTCACTCAGACATGGGTGTAAGGTTGCTCAGAGAAACAGAAGGAAGAACCCCCTAAAGATGGGTTGAAAACCCTGAGTTAAAGGAGATCTCAGAAGCCAGCTGACAGGTCTTCTTGGACAAAAGCTTCCTTCTGAGAAGAGGTTGGGGCTAGAAGTTCTCCCTGCTGTTCCTGGACACCCTCCCCCATACACAAGGGGCAGTCACCTCAGACATTTCATGGTTTTTACCTCTTTCCAGTCATGTTCAATTACTTTTTGTTTTCCCTTTATTTTATTTAATTAATTAATTTATTTGTCTATTTATTTTTAGAGAGAGTCTCACTCTATTGCCCTCGGTAGAGTGCTATGACGTCACAGCTCACAGCAACCTGGGCTTAGGCAATTCTTTTGCCTTAGCCTCCCAAGTAGCTAGGACCACAGACACCCACCACAACACCCAGCCATTTTTTGTTGCAGTTTGGCCAGGGCCAGGTTTGAACCTGCTACCCTTGGTATATGAAGCCGGCATCTTACCCACTGAGGCACCAGCATCGCCCTATTTATTGATTTTTTTAGAGACAGGATCTCGCTCAGTTGCCCAGGTTGGCAGCAGGACCACAGCTCACGGTAGCCTCGAGCTCCTCCAATGTTTTTCCTTAATTTTAAAGGCTAGTGAACGGTGCCTGTGGCTCAAGGAGTAGGGTACCAGCCCCATATGCTGGAGGCGGTGGGTTCAAACCCGGCCCTAGCCAAAAACTGCAAAATAAATAAATAAATAAATTTTAAAGTCTAGTTCTGCTTTTGAAACTTTATCCCACATTCAACTGTGTCAGGGAATGCAGAAAAGCAAAAATGTGTCTAAACTGCCACTGGGGCTTTACAGGGGATGCTGTAGCCCCCTAGGGAAGGGCCAGAGGGCAGCAGCCTCCTCTGGACCAGCTTCCTTGGTCAGGGCAAGTCCCTTCCCTGCGGGAAAACTTGGGACTCTTGGCCGGGACTGGGTTTGAACCCACCACCTCCGGCATATGGGGATGGTGCCCTACTCCTTTGAGCCACAGGTGCCACCCAACTTAGAACTCTTTTTAGGAGGAAGGTGAGGCTCAGGAACACTCACCCAGGTTCACCTCAAGCCTGCTTCCCAGGCGGAAGCTCCCTGAAGACAGCCCCACCCAGACCTACGGAGGCCTTCTCCCCAGGGCCCTGGGTTACCAAAGTCACCTCCCACCCACAGCTCACTCGAGGCCCACTGTGCAGCTCCTAGTTGCTCTTTCCTTCCCACATATCCCCCCAAGATCAGCCTTAAAGTAAGCGCTACACCACTCTTTCTCCAGAAAAGTCAAGACAGCCTGGCTGGAATCACCTAGGGCTGGATGGAATGATTCCAAAAAAGGAAGTGGATGGGATCCAAGAGTCCCGCTCAACCAACCATGGCAGCCCACCTGTGGCCTGCAGCCTCAGACTCTAACCTCAAGATTCCACAGGATGTCCTCCTTGTTGCAGCCTGGGTTATTTCAGATCCCTATCCCACTGGAGGAGAATGGCAATAGCCAGGCAAGGTTTCCAGACAGCAGGAAAAGATGTGAAACAGCAGCCGAGAAGTGAGAATTGCGCGGGAAGAAGGGGAGGGCCCTGCCGCGCAACGATGAAGGGCCAGGGAAAGGGGCCAAGAGTGCCGCCAGTCTGGAGCAAGATTTGCTACCCCTCCAGCCCTCGCCTCCCGCTCGCTGAGGCCAAAGGAACTGGGCTCACAGCAGGAATGCTCACCCCCTAGATTCACGGGAATCCACCCCCCCATACCTGCAGGGATGCCGCACATTCCTGTAGGAGGCTCCAACACGTGCTCTCCAGCCAACACCCTCCTTGCAAGCACTTGCTCCCTTCCCAGCCCTGGCCAGTAAACCTGGGAGGTCAAGCCCAGCCACTGAACGCATACCTGTCTGCGCCCCAGTCTGCTCCTGCGTCCCGACACCCTCTGGCCTTCACCTCCCTCTACTTAGCCCTAGGTCTGAGTCCACAGCCTTGGGACCTTCTTCTATGGTGCACATAGAAAGTACACACGTGCGGGGCCGGAGGAGCCTCCGCGTACACACAGACGGGGCACAGGCACGCACTCACGTAGTCATGCCACGGACCGGCAAGAAAGCCCCTCTCGGGGCTGTGGGGCTGAGCTCCAGGTCCCAGAGCTCCGCCCGGCGTCTCCTCCCCTCCCGGGGGCTTACCGCCAGCCCATACTCCCTAAGGCCCTGACGGGAAGAGAGCCGGCCGCTGGGCAGAGCGTGGGGAGACACCGCCACCGGCAGACGGCTCTCCCCGCTGATCCCAGCGGCGCCCACTCACCAGAAACGCCCAAGGCCCGGGAGCCCACCGTTCGGGCGGAGCCAGACCGGGGAGTGGGTGCCAAAGTGGGCGCCCAGCCTCCAGCCACTTGAGGACAGCGCCCCGGGACGCCCGAGCGCTCCATCGCCCGCCTGTGACCCGCTGGGACCGGGATGTAGCCACCCCCCGCACCGCAGGAGCCCAGCTCCCTCCCCCGCCCTGGGTCCTGCGGGAACAGCGTGTGCGGATAACAGAGCCCGTTGCTATGCAACCTCCATCCCGCGCGGGCCGCTCCGCGCCTTTTGGCTCTCGGGCAGGGGAGGAAGAGCACCCACCCCAACTTCCCACCCCGGGGTGACCTGAACGCAGGGTTCGTGTCCCAATCCACTCTGGGTGCTCAAGTCACGCGCTCCGCACTCCCACCCCCACCCAGGTCCCTCCACTCGAGACAGGTTCCCACGGAACGCCAACACCCAGCAGCCACAGAATTTGAGGGTGAGGATCACTCTGTACCCTTTCCTCCTAGAGCCCTCCTGCTCTCCCACGCCTTCCGCCCCGATCCCACTGGACCCTCCCTGCAGGGCCTGCTCCGTTCCACGGAGGGGCCGCGCCACCCGACAGAGCGGCAGCCACCCTACCTGAAGCATCACTTTGTACTGCTCCTCCGGCTTCTGGACCACGCACATATTACATCCCATGGTGCTGGCGGGCGAGGTAAGGAGAGCGGGAACAGGAATATGCCTTTCACTGGCCGTTGCGCGGGACCTGGGGGCCCGGGCCCGGGCCGGGAGCCATACCTTACCTCGGGGGGCGGGCCGCCTAGCGGGGGAGGAGGGCACGCCCCCGAGCGGGGGGCAGCTCCACGCCCCTAAGCTTAACTCCTGGCTGGCCGCGGCCAGGTGCGGGCATGCTCCCTCGTACCCAGTCAGGAAAAAAAGGGCAGCGGGGGATGGGCGGGCGCGCCGGGCGTTGCCTGGCTACCGCCCCCCAGGAGGCGCGGGGCAGCCGAGAGCCATCAGGGGCCGTGGACCGCGCGCCTCCCCGCCCGCGAGGCCCACCGCTGCCGCTGCCGCCTACGGCTCCCGCCCATGGCCGCCGGCCCCGGGAGCCTGGCCTTCGCGCTCGGCGCCACGGCCCGGCCCGCCAACAGGGGGGCGGCGGCGCCGCCAGACCAGCGCCCGCTCTCCTTCCTCGCCTGCTGTGCTCTTGGCGCTCGCGGCGCCGGGTCTCTGGCCCGCAGCCTGCCGGCGGTCTCCGGCTCCCGCCCGAGACGACGGGCACGCGCGCGCACCCGCAGCAGCGGGGGCGTGACGCGGGGACTGGGCGCACGCGCGCGGGGGAGGGGAGTGGGGCTGGGTGGTGGCGGGAATCGCGGGGGCTGGGGAAGCCGGCGCAAGAAGCCAAGGGCGGGGGTGGACGGAATCACGCGGGAGGGGGCCAGCTTACCGCGACCCCCGCGTCCAGTCCCAAGGCTCTTGGCACGGTGCGGCTCTGAGAGAGAGGTGTCCCGTGAGAAGGAGCCGCCTCCCCGCGTTCCCGGGAGAGAGTTGGGGAGGGAACCTGCTTTCAGCCCACTTTCCCGGGACTTGGCCGCAGTAGCCCTAACGCCTCTGCTGCTTCTGGCTTCTCTTCAATGGCTGCTTCTTTTCAACTCAGCCATTGCCGTGCTGCCTTTGAAACCGACACCTTTGTTTAAAAGAGAGAGAAAGAGAAAAACGAGGACAGGAAAAATGAAGCGCGGCCGGGCGGTTGGTGGGGAGAGCTGTCCCAGCGGCGTGCTTGGCTTGGGGTTTCCTGCGCACAGGATCTGAGCTGCCTCCTACCTGTTCCTCAGCCCTGACCCTCACCTGGGCCCAGCTCTTTCCCACAACCTGTTCCCTCGTTTTGGACAAGCCTGGAGGGAGAAGGCCTATGCCTGGAAAACAGCAGCGGCTTGGGGGATGGATTCCCAGGAGTGCTGTGGGAGACCGCTAAATTAAATTACTATTCCCTTCATTTCCAGTCTTTAGCAAGTGAGAAGAGGGGATCCTTAACCACCCTCGGCTGTTTAATTAAATAGCAGCGGTTGGGGAAGGCTACTCCGAAGCCTTTCCTACACCCCCACCCCCACCCCCGGTGTAGAGGACAGGAATCGGGAGCAGTGCACCTGCCTGGAATCCAGAGCAGGAACGTGAGTCTCCTAACCCTGGTTTCACCCAGAAAACAGATTTGGAGACAGAGCTGGTGTGCGAGTTGCAACTTGCCACCAAAGGGCTGGCTGGTCTCCTTGAGGAATGGTGTCACACTGAGGGCTCAGCAGCAGTGTCTACATCAGCCTGGTGAGAGGTAGCAGGGCTGCTGAGCTTATGCAGAAGCTCCAGCCCTTCCACAATGGCACAGGGCTCCACTCACTTCCAGCACTCCCTGAGGTACCCCCTCTCCAAACCTTGTCTCTCACTTTCCCATTTTACTCTGCCAGGGTCCCTGGCCAATCAACTAGCCAAGCCATTTCTCACTGCCCAGGAGTCCTTGGACACCTATATTTCAGGTCATTTTTTCACTGTGCAAAATAAACAATCTAGGTACTGCTCACTGGGAGGATTTCCCCTTATCACTGTCCCAGGGTCACCCTGAGTGAGGCTGTTTCTCCTAGTTCCAACCTAATGAGCTAACCCATGGAGGAACTGGGTCTGAGTGTTGTCCTCTGTCAGTCACAGGGAACTCTGCTTCCCACAGGGGTCTGGAATGCACCATTCTATGGAATTGCTGCTGTGCCTGCCCTCATGACTATACTCAGCTCGTGATGAGAAACTATGGTCACACAGGCACTTTATGTCCCATGGTCAGGCTGTAAGGCCCTGCCAGAGTCCAGCAGCATGGCAACAGTTGCTCTTTGAGTGATGAGTAGCTTTGCTGCAGAAGATACAGCGTTTCTCCAGCCCCTGATGGTTCCAGCCATACTTGACCCTTCTGCTGGGGCTTCCTGACAGCTCCATGTAGCAGCATCCTGACCTACCATGGACAGGTCCCTCCAGCACCATGAGGTTGGCTGGCTCCTGGGGCTCTAGTGGCAGAGCAGCTGGCACTGCAGCACAGCCCTTCTGCTAAGACTTGTCTTGCTGGTGCACCCCAAGGCCTGCTTGATTAGACAGTCTACCAATTTGGCAATCTACCCAGCATCATGCCAAATAAATCCCTTTTCTTGTTAGAATGAGTTTATTCCTTCCTGTGATCAGAACATTCTGACAATTACAAAGCCCAGGGAGGTAACCTGGTTCTCTGTGCCCTCAATGAATCCTCAAAATAAAAAAATAAAGCTCCAGAGGGTGTGGGGTGGAAGGACATCAGAGACAGTCAACTGATCCAGGCGCAGCAACTTTGATCTGAACTCAGCAATGAGGATGATGGTTCAGGGACATCCCTGCATGGCAGCTAGGCTGGAACAGAACATCGTGCTCCAGAGACATGACAAGGGCTGTCAGCACCGTGATTCCCAGAGCCACTGTAGCAATTTTTAACCTGAAGAAAGCATGCCCAGGTGACTCTGGCCCAGATGTAACGTGGAAGGGTCTTGTCTTAACTCCATTGAAGAAGTCCTTGCTCTCCCTCCATAGCCTGAAGCTTGAGCCGGCTGAGGACAGTGTGACACTCCATAGAAGGGGTCCCCTCTAACCCACCCTGGAAAGCTGCAGAGGCCATGGTATGCTTACAATTAGGACATACAGGCTCGGCGCCTGTGGCTCAACTGGCTAAGGCGCCAGCCACGTACACCTAAGGTGGCGGGTTCGAATCCCCAGCCCGGACCCTCCAGACAACAATGACGGCTTGCAACCAAAAGGTAGCCGGGCGTTGTGGCAGGCGCCTGTGGTCCCAGCTACTTGGGAGGCGGAGGCAGGAGACTCGCTTGAGCCCAGGAGTTGGAGGTTGCTGTGAGCTGTAATGCCATGGCACTCTACCCAGGGGGACAGCTTGAGGCTCTGTCTCAAAAAAAAAAAAAAAAAACAATTAGGACATACAGAGGAGTCCATTCTTCTGACTACAGTCTTGCCCCTGTGTCCACAGGGATTGGTTCCAGGACCACCCCCCCACTCTATGGATATCAAAATCCTCCAGTGTGCCAGTCCCTAATGTAAGATGGCAGACAGCGTGGTATTTGCATATAACCTCTACACCCCCATCACCTTAAATCACTCTAGATCAGTTATCATATATAATGCAATAGAAACATTATGTAATAGTTGTTGTATTGGTTTCTATTTATGTTATTTTTCATTTTTTTTTTGTTTTAATGTTTTCAAATACTTTTCATGCATGATTGGTTAACTCCTTGGATGCAGAACCTGTGCCTATGGAGGGCTGACTATGTTTTTTCCAATGGATATGAACTCCGTAGTGCCTACCCCAGCCTTGTCAGATGTGTGACTGAGGACTTCTGTTTTCCAGGAGTTGCTTATGACCTTGCCCACTGGCTCCCACAGAAGGGAACCATCAGGGAAGATGAGGCCAGATCACAACGCAGGATCTCTGCCCAGCAGCCTTCTCCTGTGCACCTTGACCTAGGATGGCAGGTTTGCCTTTTCCTGAGTCAGCTGGAACTTGTGTTTGCTGCTCCATTTTTCATGGGTCATCATGTTCTTGGTATTGTTTCTAACCCAAAGTCACCTAGATTTCCCTCATGCTACCTTCTAGGATTTAATAGCTTCTTGTTTTAATGTGGGTCTATGACAGTGGTTCTCAACCTTCCTAATGCCGTGACCCTTTAATACAGTTCCTCATGTTGTGTTGACCCCCAACCATAAAATTATTTTCGTTGCTACTTCATAACCGTAATTTTGCCACTGTTATGAATCGTAATGTAATATCTGATATACAGGATGTATTTAGGCGACCGCTGTGAAAGAGTCATTTGACCCCCAAAGGGGTCACAACCCACAGGTTGAGAACCACTGGTCTGTGATCTATTTTGAGTTCATGTTCGTGAAGGGTGTAAGTAAGGTCTGTGTCTTAGCCGTTTTTAGCTACTATAACAAAATGCTTTTTTTTTTTGGCCAGGGCTGGGTTTGAACCCGCCACCTCCGGCATATGGGGCTGCACTGTACTCCTTTGAGCCACAGGCACTGCCCCCCCCCTTTTTTTAGAGACAGAATCTTACTTTGTCACCCTCGGTACAGTGCAATGGCGTCAGAGCTCACAGCAACCTCCAATTCCTGGGCTCAAGCGAGTCTCCTGCCTCCGCCTTCCAAGTAGCTGGGACTAAAGGTGCCCGCCACAACGCCTGGCTGTTTTTTGGTTGCAGCCGTCATTGTTGTTTGGTGGGTCCGGGCTGGGGATTCGAACCCGCCACCTTAGCAACCTCCAACTCTTGGGCTTAGGCGATTCTCTTGCCTCAGCCTCCCAAGTAGCTGGGACGACAGGCGCCTGCCAATTGCCCAGCTAGTTTTTCTATTTTTATTAGAGTTGGGATCTTGCTTTTGCTCAGGCTGGTATCTTAACTCCTGAGCTCAAGCAATCCACTTGCCTCTGCCTCCCAGAGTGCTGGAATTACAGGTGTGAGCCACCTTGCCTGGCCCAACATACGAAGTTTGGAAGGACACAGACGTTCACACCATAGCAGCCTATGTTGAGGTGCATTTTGGCATGTGAGGTGGATATCAGCACTGTCTGTAGACCAGATTCCCCTTTCTCACAGAACCACCTTTCCTCTCTGATCAGAGATCACCCCCACTGTATTTGTGTGACTCTACTTCAAAACTGAGAAGTCTGATTTCTTGAAGGAAGCAAATAGGGGAGGCTCCAGGAGTCTGCTTATGTTCTCACAGGAACATGGCATTTACTTTTCTAGACTTTTTTTTTTTTTTTTTGAGACAGAGAACCTAAAGCTGTCCCCCGGGGTAGAATGCTGTGGCATCACAGCTCACAGCAACCTCCAACTCCTGGGCTCAAGCGAGTCTCCTGCTTCTGCCTCCCAAGTAGCTGGGACCATAG